ACCAATTTCATGCTGCGCATGCATTACAAATTCGCTAGTAAAATAGTGAAAGAAATTGTATATTTCTTGTCCCTCCACTAGCAACCGGTTGTTTCGTGGGAAAGCATACAGTTTCTCAGGTTTTTGGAGTGGATTCTTTCTCTGTTTCACCAAAAGTGATACTTAATAAAATGAACGGTCCTGAAATTATGATTGTGAAGGTTGAATTAATTGTGTGTGAGGTCCATCTAAATCTTTCACTTTGATTATGCTTTCCAGAATTCCCTGTCCTACCACTCATACTTATTGGATTACGTTGTCTTTCCACTTGTTCTTTCCTCTACTATTGAGATAAGAAATATTCACTATCAGGGAGTTAAAGAAATTCATCTTTATCCTCCATTTTATGACCAGAATATGATTCTTTGATCAAATTTCCTTTGGGAAACTTTTAAATGTACCAGCATATTATTCATCTTTATCCTCCACTAAGGACTTTGAATCTTTTGTCAAAGTTCTTCATTAGAAAGCATGGAGTTTTCTGTATATAATGAGTAAGGCTCAGGCATGTTCTGCAAGTAAGAAAGAAATCTTGAGATCCTTTGTGGGAGAGAACTTTCTCTTTTGAGCTCAGAAATGTCTTCCTACGGTTACATGTACAAGGGCTATTCTTCCACCCAAAATGGGGTGGGGTCCTGTGCGTATGATTGGAACAATTCAATCTGCTCTTCTTCCTCTGATGATGTTTGCTGGCCAGTTCTCGTTGATGCTGAAGGAAGAGAGATGCTAGTCATTTCTTACGACATTCCAAACAACAACGGTGGGTACTACGTTTCAGAAACTGAGACAACTGTCAGGACTTATGGAAGCACTGCAGATGAGGAGGCATGGAGTAGGCCTTCAAGCCTCGTTCAACGTCCTGTTGAGGACAAATGGCATCCACATACTGAACTTGTCAATGGTTTCCCAAAGAAGGTCAATGAGCTAACCAATAAAGTCCTCCCGCGTTCGGCTGTTCCTTCACCTTATCATAGCTCACCTTTGGTTTCTGAGTACAAAAATAGCTCTAAAACAAAGGTTGAGCCACTTGGAACAAGCAATGGCCCTGCTGTGAAAAATCTGGGTAGGCCTTCAAGCAACGTTGAGAGGAGCACCGTTGAGAAGAATTTGGGTAGGCCTTCAAGCACTGTCGAGAAGAATTTGGATACCGCTGA